CCCGAAACCTAAGAGTATAAAGAACCAAAAGCCACTTTCACCTCCTTCCTTTAATCTGCCAATCATGAGTCCCAGAGTGCAGCAATTTGCTGTTAGGACCAGGAGGCGGGGCTTATTCACCAAGAGGGGGAGTGCTTCACTCAGAAGGACCTCAAGGCTTCTGAAACACGAGTCCTTTCTAGAAGACAATAAGTTTACAGGTTTGCATTTTTAAACACAGATGGTGTGATAAGTACTGCTCATAAACATTTGGCAGACACTCAGAAACAGACTGTTTGCTTGTCACATTGATGATTATGATGATAAACCAGCTACCTGACTCTCTCTGGCTCTGTAACAGTGAAGTTGAGCAAAGCAGAGCAGGCTGTCTCCATGCTGGGATCCCTTGTGGATGCGACACTGGTTTTTCCCCTGAGGAAAGTCCAGCTCTGAGACAGGAAGTCCACCAGCAGGGCCGGGGTGTCGACATCGAGCAACACCTTCCTGGGAACTTCCTCTGCTGACAGGTGGCACAGAGCTGGGAGGAGATACCTAGGGAGGAGGGAAAAGGAAAAGAGGCAGTGCAACATAAAACCAGCAGATTTTCTCTAAATGTTACCAATCTCCTCTCAGACTTCATCTTTACCTGAGAGCCTCTCTGCCCGTCCACGCGCCCCTGTCTTCACCAATAGACATCTTGACCATCCAGTCAGCGAGGCTATGCTCTAAGATCCCACCCTGCAGGTGGCTTCGGGTGTAGTTTATCAGAAATGGCAGGAGTTTAGTCACTTCCTCCTTAAGACAGGAAGTCTCCTCAGCCAACCACGAGCACAGAGAGCGGAATGTGGCGAAAACGAAAGGGTCGCCATAGCGGCTCGGCTCCACCTTTAATATCATGAATAAACGAGTCATTTATTCACATTTAAATTCTCTTTACTCCTAGGCTCTACACGTCAGCACAACAGAAATAATTTTGTGCACAATAAATGATCATATTTCTAGTATCACCAACAGATAGCTTGTTATGTTAGTTTTCTCATCATCTCTTTACCTGCTGCAAGAAGTACATCAAGCCAGAGAAGGCCTCCTCCAGGACCCCGAGGACCTGCCTGCTCTGCTGCAGACTGAGGGTAGCAATTGAGCTCTGAGAAGGTGCAGCAGCCTGCGGGACTCCCGGACTGCAGGCCTGCTCTATGGCCGCCTCCATGATTCGGTAACAGCCTACGAGGAGCACAGTTCAGATTAAATGACTGAGGTGGTTAACCTTGATTAGATCTCAATACCTAGAAAATGACTTACGGAGTCAGATGATGCCTGTTTATTTAATTAAACTTCAATTGTACTTGCTCCCAACAAGAAACTCTGTTACATGACAACCAAAACATGCAAATGAAGACACCAAGATGACTACTTTAAATCAGCTAAGTGAACAGTTACATGCAAATCATACAGCAGAAATGAGATTCCAAGTCAACTTCAGCTCTAAGATTAAACTGAAGTAAGAAAGCTTTACAGCAAGATTTAATCAACCTTTTTCCTTTTTTATGAAGTGTCATCCTGGAAAATAATAAACTTAAAGTTCCAATCAACATACTATTATGATTAAGTACACTACCTGTTATTGTGTGTTGCACCTCAGGGGTCAAATCATTACCAGGCAGTTCTTCCAAACCCATTCTGACCTCCACGCAGGCCCGGTTCACCAGTAAGCAACAGAACTTTGGAGGTCCCGCCATCTCCCAGCCATATAAATCCAGCAGGCAAGCACTGAGGACCAGGATTGATCCGATATGTCTCGGTGTCAATTTAGCCTGCACCATAGGTCTCAGTATCTCCCATAAACGGCCCACGACTGCCTTCAGCTCCTCACTCTCCACTGCCACGCCTGCTGGGGGCAGAAACTGCGCCAACTGACCACACATGCCTAACCTGGTTTCGTCTGTGGACTCGCAGAAGTCTTTGGAGAGTCTGACCAGCAGCGAGAGGAGCTCTGGAGTGTGTTTGCTCCATGCTTTGTCCTTGTTTTTACCAGAGAGGAGCGAGCCCAGCAAGGTGAGCCCCTTCTCGTGGCTCAGAGTCTGGTTCAGTTCCACCGCTTGGCACAAAGCAGAGATGGCACCCCTGCTCAGGAGCTGCTCCGGGCCTCTGGGTAAGGCACACACAACTGTCAAAACCAGGTAGCAGTCAGCAGCCAAGGCCGCATCAAGGCTAGAAGAGGGAGGGTTCTCCTGAGACATTGACACTCTGCTTGCTTCACTGCCGTCATCGCCTTTTTTCCTGCTGCTCTCAGTCTCTTCTGCAGATTGTGCCACACTGGCAGGATTATAGTCTGGGTTTGAAATGTTTGCTGACTGGACTTCACCGTCTGGACTCTGCCCTACTTGGTGCTGCTCCCGGGCTTCCCGTTTCTGCTGGTTAAATACAGGACCATTTGCTAAGATGCCCAGCAGGAGGGGGATGGTGGTGAGGAGCTGGGGACTGGAGGCCATGTCTGGCTCTGTGCTCAGGGCAGCCAGCAAAGCAGTGCCCAGCGAAAGGAGCTCATCTGGGGGTAAGCCAGAGTTCTCGTCCCCTCTGACTGCTGTGACCAGAAGCCGAGCTGGAAGATTGAGGCCCACCGCCTCAAAGATGCGCCTCAACGTGGGTTTGTCCAGTTCACTGGCTGGGCACAAGCGACTTATCTGAGGATGTGAAGATAGAGTAGAATTAGTCTTTGTTGAGGCACAATTTAAAATATAACATCAGTAAAATCTGTCTACTTAAAAAAAACAAATAAAACAGTGTTATAGCGCGCAATTTTTAATTATACTTTGATCTGTTTGCAATTCCTTGTTGTCCATTCATCCATCTGGCATGCCAGCTGTTCCAGTTCAACCTAAAGGTGTTTGATGGTGAAGGCTTTGTTCCAACCAGTCAAGTTCTTCCCCACCAAACTAATCCAACCATGCCTTTATGAGACCTTGCTTTCTGCACTGGGGCAGACATGCTGGAACAGAGGAACCTCGATGCTAACTAGTCCCACAAAGCTAGAAGCGTAGTTGTCTAAACCTTCTTGGTGAGCTTAACCATGAAGATCTCATTCACTGGAACCAAATACTCCAAAGCAACAGCCGTCCAAACTTTACAGTTAGCACAATGCAGTCAGGCAAGTAACTGCTGTGGCATTTGCAAACCTAGACCCGTCCATTAGATTACTCACCACTTCTCCAGAACAAGATTCCTGATTTCCTTGGAGTAACAACAAATATAAATGTCTTGTTTCTGTTCAGTTCTATAAAAGAATATCTAGACATCCAGCAGTTAATCTCATCAGTGCAGCTCAGTGTGTGAACAGGGGCTAGATTAGAGGTGTACAACTGTGTACCATCTGTATAAGAATAAAAGGTATTATAATTCTTTATGACAGTACCAAACAGAAGCTTTAAATTCAATCCAAGAAAAGACCCTTGAGAAAACACTGTTTCAGCTTTTAAATTGGCTGGTTCCTTGATTTTACACACCTGTGACGATGAGACTGAAAACCCCAAAATTCAAAGATTAAGAGGTGTGATCCAATACTTCTGCCCATTTCTCTGCTGCAGAGGTAGTTTTAAGAAAAGAAAAAAAAAAACCCACAATGTTTGCAAATAACCATTAGTTTGGTAAACGCAACTGTATTTATAAAAATAAATAAATTTTAAAAAAAAAGAAAAAGGGAACATGCAAAAAGCTCCCATAATTTCTTAGTTTTATTTTGGGAAAGCTTAACCCCCAAATAGTTGAAAATCAATTTTAAAACAGTTTTATATCAACTCCTTTAACAATATTTTTGTTTTTATCTCGATTCTTAAATTAAACGAATACTTACCAGAAGAAGAGCAGCCAACGTTTGACTGTCGTTTTTAGCGTGCTTCAGCGCATGCACACACTTCTCCAAGACGCCTCTTTGGGCATCAGTCAATCCGCCTTTTACATCCCCTTCTGAGCCTCCTCCACCTTCACCTCCTCCCTGCTCCTCTTTAGCAGGAGACTGGCTGTTCACGGTGGGTGTAAAGGCAGCACTGTCAGCCATTATGAGCCCGGTAACTATGCGACCGAGAGAGATGTAAAGAGGAGAAAAACTTTTTCAATGAATTTCCAATCAGTCTTTCGAGCACTGATTGCAAGAAACAGCGCCACATCGCTGGGCCAACGGGAGTAGTCCAATTTACTGGCTGTCAGCTGTCCCGCTAACGGCTGACAAAAATGTATATGTATATCAATTTAACATTTGAACAGGTGAACGTTAACAATGGAACTTACTTTGTTGACAACCCTCTTGCACGCCGCAACTGCTCGTGCTCACTCCCCCCGGAAACACACTGTCAAGCTAAAGATGTCACGAGCCAATAAAAAGGATCGAAGAAAATCAGGCAACCAATCATCAGGCGGATTGTTGTAAGGCGACACCGCCATTTTAGCCCGTGTCATAACGTCAGATAAACGAGGTTATCCAGATTTATCGTTTTAATTTTATTTTTTAAAAATGTTATTATTTTTTTAATATAAAAGAGAAAAAGTTTATTAGCACTCGTTGAGTTGAGCATTTACCTTTTTAAACTGCTCCTCGTTAGGGGGCGTAAACCGGAACTAGCTGGATGAACGTTGAACGTTTTCAGCTTAAGACAACAAATGAATTTAATTTGTATTGTGTTTTCATTATGTACCAAAAATCCACGTGTAAATAAATAAATAGATTAAAAAATTGAAAATGATAAAGAAATGCCAACTGGTTAAAAAAGAAAAATTAAGAATAATCTGTATCGCAAGAAATAAAATGGGCTCATATCCAGGTTATTAAAACTATATAGCTATTTAGTTAGGAATTTTGGTTTCACTTTCAGATGTAACACGTAACTGCTCTAGCTAACCATCGCATAACTGCTGTTTTCACTGCCTACTTTGTTTTGAAAATCTCATCACCGGAACCTTTCGTAAAACGTATTGCGTTGACAGTCAAGCACTCACTCACGGCATATCAGCTGTATCAGCGTGAGGAGTACTGACCTAATTTGGAGAGCAGGGGACAACAAGAGACAAGGCTACACATCGGAACGAGCAGCTGAAGAGAAAGTCTACCATTTTTTGTTTGTGTAAGTCCGTGCACACATTCTCTCTCTTGTGTTACCGGGGGCAGTTGCCGTTAAAACGCATTGTGTTGGGTCCGATGAGAGATGTCAGCAGCTGTTAGCCTCAAGGTGCCTTGGATGCGAGTGATCCCGGGATTAAACAGGTGAAATACCTTACGGTGCGCTACTTCAACCTTCCCGTGTCGGTGCTTGGACGTCGACATGCCTTGTAAAAACATAACATCTGCTAAATGCGCGCAAGTGGCACTTGGGTTTATACATCAACCCCCCACACAGTTGTTTATAATATTATGACAGTGCAGCAGACTGTGCTGTGGGCAGATACCGGCCTGTATTGAATTATCTGACAGCTGAACACGTCTTGTCCTGTCTTGAGTAAATCTGAGTGATTTGTCAGTTTCGCAAGATACATAATGCACGAGCCCACCATTTTGTCTTAGTAGTGCGAGGGGTTTTTTGTTTTTTTGTTTTTGTTTTTTTCAGTGCGTTTACTCACGCGTCTCATTTGACTTGACAGACTTTCATTCATATAGTCAGACATGCACCAATTTGCGCTTTAAGCAGTCCATTACGCGCTGCACGGGGATAAGAAGAGACAAGAGTGGAGCTTAGTCAGCAAATCAGGGTTATTTTTGTTTGTTTTATCAGTCATTTAGTTGACAAAATGAAATAGGCCAGCAGAGGCTAAAGTAATGTTCTTTATTTAGTCCCTCTACGTTTCATCTCTGATATGAAGCTGGCAGGTACTGAACGTCTTTTATTCAGTGAGGCAAATACTTGGTGTTATGAAATTACTAAGAATGACTTTTAGTTGTTGTTGTTGTTGTTATCATATGATTAAAATGTGTACACATGTCAATAAAAAACCTAGAACAGGCAAAATAGACCATAAACAAAATAACTGAAAGCAGATAAACGGACAGTAAAAATATATCACTGATGAGAAGACATAAAAGGCCAATTTAAAAGTATGAAAAGGACTTTTTAAGGAGATTAGCAAGCATTCTCTCCTCAGGCTGGTCACTCCAAAGCCAAGGGGACTTGATGGCAAAACCATTAGATTTAAATCTAAGGAGCAACCAAGAGCTCAAACGGGGGTCAACATTTCTGCTATGTAACTTGAGACCCAGACCCAGATGTACTTTAGAAGTGAATCCAGTTTCAGTTGCTCCGTTTAAAATACATGATAATTTCACGGAAATCATATGAGTGCTTGCAAATGGCACATGTTTGTTACCCAAGATTAACTTGAACTAGAATGATGTGAAGAGAAAATTATGGAATATGATCCAAAGCATACATTATCTGTCTACCATGATAGAGGCAGTGTTGTGGCATTGGTGTGTATGGCTGTGAAACAAAGTCACTAGTGTTCCCTGAAGATGTGACTGCTGATAGAAGTAGCACCCTAACTTGATCTAAACCCAACAGAGTGCGCTTTTTCCATTGTCAAACACAAACAAGCAGCAAGTGAAGGTGGCTATAATAGAGATCTGATGGAGTAACTCAAGCAAGGAAACTCAACATTTGGTGATACCCACGGGTTTAGACCTCAGGTGAAGTTTTTCTTTTCATAAAGGTATTAAAAAGAGTGTTTAAATTTATGTTCATTAATTTTGAATCTCAGAATTTGGGGGACTGTGTATAGCAATCGCTGTAATTCTTAAAAAGTGCATGTAAAATTTTTATAAAGCTCCTTGTATTAAAGCTGAACGTCAGCACTTCAGTCACATATTGATTGATTTGCAATCCGCTGTGATTGGGGCAGAACTACAAACTGTCTTTGTAGCAAACATTATGGAAGGCGCTGTATATGCAATAAGTGAGAAAACCCTAAAGCCAAGATCTAGGCAAAGAGTAAAGTTTAAAGTGAGTTAAAGACTAATGTGATGTACTCGTACTTTCTGTTGGGTCTTTGATTTGTAATCTTATTTTAGGATTAGTGTAGTTATTGCTCTAAGGATATTTGTAGAGTTGTCACAACAAAATAAGCAGTTTGTCATGATTATTCATTTTATTAAATTTTTTCCTGGGTATGCTGCCTGAAAGAGACATAAAAACTTGATTTTCCTTCCCTGTGGCAGCCGGAGGAAGCTGTGCGTGGGACAGAGAAAAGCTACATCAGCCTGTCTGCGGAGAAGCCGATGCAGAGCTGACTGCTCCTGCTGAGAGAGGAGGAGGAAGAAACAAGTCAAAGGGAGAGAATTTGCCAGATGTAAGAGGAGGAAAGAGAGAGAAGGTGGGCGAGGGTTTCGGTGACAGAGATCATTGTTCTGCAACAAACCCCTCATGGGTGAACTGGCCATTAAAAAGTCAGTAATGGCCAAGCTGTCATCAGCCCAGGTGACCGTGTGCACCTGAGCGTTACTGCTGCAGCACAGTGAAAGTCACCACGTGCCTCGGGGCAGCTGCTGCATGGTTTAAAAAAAATCCAGGCTGCCGGATCCTAACTGATTCCTGCACGTTTTCTGCACTGGATCATTTTCACCTGGAGCTTTTTCCCCTTTTGGGCGTTCACTAGGGAGAGAAAAATAAGCAAAAGCGGGATACGGAGCAGTTTGGATATTTGGACAGACTGAGCCAGTGACTACAGCAGAGAAAGAGACTGCTCGGTGCTCCAGTGTCACGTGCAGGAATGCAGATTTGAATAAGGAATCAGACCAGCAATCCAGGTTTGATACTACCACGTTTTCCTTTTAAAAAATACAGTAAGTAACATAGTTGTAGGTTTGTCTCAAGAAAACAGTGCTGCTTAAGCTTTTAATGCTTGCCTTTGTTTAAATAAGATCATTATCAGTTTAGTAAAAGCATCAGGACATTTGTAACAGTGCCTTACGCAAACATTACTTCGTTCTCTCAAACTATATTTTCTGTTTATTCAATTTTTTTTAAACCAACAAAGTAGTAACTCTGCAGAGGCTGGCACCGATGGCACAGGGTAATTACTAATGTGGAAGATTAGGGACGTGCTTCCAGCCATATGGATACAGCATCTAGCTAACCTCTTTAGAGTGTGATCATAACAGATAGATATGAAAGCTTGATTTATTACTATATTGCCCCACAGTAGTTTCCTGGTGAGGCCATGTTGAGAAGAGGCCTGGCCGTGCCTTGAACATTGTGTTTTAGGAGCTTTGGTATTTATTTGACAGGAACCATGCACAAAAACACTGACCTCACAAAACAAAGCATGCTTCATACCTAATTTCCATATACAGTCCCCAGAGGATGGCAAACACAATATTAACTAATCCAGCAGTTGAGGTGGGCTCGAGTCCAACTTGGAAGGGACCTTAGGGCACACCCAGGACACACTGGAGTGATTATATCTCGGCTGGCATGCAAACTGTTATCTGGGTATCTCTGCTTAGACTTTTGCCAGCCGTTTCCTGCTGCTTATCCAGCAGAAGGAAGTAGGTGGATGTTTGTATACATGGACAGACTTATCCAACTTAACAGTGAGGATGAACCTAGCCGAGCCGTCACAAGGCAAGAGACGTGGTACAGCCTGTCTCCTAGAACGTTGAATTAAACTAAAGAATGCTCAGGACTGGCCAGGAGTTTTAAACTTCTAACCTTCTTCCTGTGGGACACCAGATACAACTTAAAAATGTATATACATACGTACCTCCAGCCCACTCCCACTCCCACACACAAACACATACACACTGTAAAACCTTCCTATATACACCCCCCTCATTCAATATTCAGGATGTTCCATCAGTGTATATAAACCTATCATAAAATGAGGGTATTATAAGGAAATCTTAGCTTCACCGGTTACCTACAAGCTTTTTTTGGATCATGAGAAAACATACAAATCTGCACCAAACTGTAAGGGAGCGTTTCCCATTGATTTCTTAAATGAAAACCATTTTTCCATAGCAGAACGTCTTTTAGGAACTTCACGTCCACGTTTCCCTTGAAGCTCTGCTCATCTGTAATCATCTGATATGCACACAGAGGTCTTTGCAGTGGTGGAGGTGCATTCATTTTTATATATTTTACAGACAAGAACATCAGAGTACAAGATTAGGCTTTCGTAACTGAACATTTTGTACCTACTCAGGATATCACAGTGGTGATAATGCTGTGGTTTCCTTGTAGAAATGTTAAGGAAATTAGTTTTAAAGTTGTCACACTGTCTTGACACTAGCAATAGACACAATAGTGTCAAGACTATTGACACTAGTCTATTGACACTATGTTCCCAACATATCTGAAGATAACTGTTTAGTGTTTCACTGTGCTACTACTCATGCTTAACCCTACTTTTACGATTTCTGCTGCAATAACCTAAAGGGAACCATGTGTACTAACACAGCGGTTAAATATTGCGCATTCTCAGATTTTTATCTTTGCATCAGATGAAAACCACAGAAGCTGAACAACATGAGGATTACACCTTCCCTTCAAGCAGCACAGTAATCTGAGTCTTGCCTCTTTTTTGTTGACTCATTTAGTCATTATTCTGGAGGTAAACA